CACCTGCTGGACAACATGGTGACATGCCACCTGATCTCCATTGTGGCACACCAGATGTGAAGAGGATGAAGTCACGGCTGAGAAAGATTGAGACTCTTGTACCATGCCTGGAGGTGACCAATTCGATTGGGTGGTCACATTGGAAGAGCTCACCAACTGACTCTGGTAGAGGCTCTCGGCCTGTTCGTAAGGGCTGTGTTCAAACCACACATTAGCACGCTCAGACTGGAGGCCAGACAGACCAGGAGCAGTGCTGGAAGGTTGACAACCATTTTCTTCTGGCTTCTCATCAGCCTTGGTTTGGTTGTTGACCCTCTCAGTGCCGTTCTCAGAGTTAGATGAACATTCTCTATAGCAGCGGCGGCGTCGGCTTTTCCCGCTACGTTTTGCATCTCCATTTAAGCTGCCACTTTCTGGGGAAGAGAAATTTGTCTCTTCACTTCTTTGACCAGATTCAGAAGTCCTCCTATGACCTGCAGCCTTGTTCATCTGACTGTTGGGAGGTTGCTCTGACTCTGGCTGATCCGCAGCAGAGAACTGCTTCTGAGACATCTTTGGTTCATTGTAAGAAGAAAAGAACAGGTAAAGGCTTCTGGATTAGTAAAAGACGCAGGACATTTAGAGACACATGGGACTGATTTATTAGACTCAGATTCCTTAAATTTTGTGTTATGCTTTTTTGTTTCCTCTTTCTTAGGGCTGTCAAAATTAGGACAGTGTCAGTGTACAACTGACAAGCTGACTGACAAATTTGACAAAGTTCAGAATTATAGACTGATTCAAATTGATAATGACAACAGTTTCACTCATGTTTTTTAAGGCAACTCTCACTATGTTCTACAAGCCACCATCAAGATAAACAGTGTTACAAATTAGCATATTTTTCTGGACATTTTTCCACAATAATAATAATTTGGATCAGTCATAAATTAAAACATACATGAATTATGTCAATCTGGTCTAGTAATATACACAAATTTTGGGGAATTAATTTGTTAAAAAGCCCTGCTTTTTAACAAAAAAAAAAAAATCTACATTCAATCAGTCCCATGATATTTAACAACCATGCAGCATGCAAAATTACACACTTATCAAAGGCAAGTTTATGCAAACAGTAAATGGGAGTCTAGATATGCTTACAACATGCACTTAAAATTATTAATAATTAATAAGATTAGCATCCTGTGCAGTATACCAAGGGTGTGTTCTCACATTTACAGTAGTAAATGCTCATGAACATAACAAAATGTCACCTGGGTTTCTTAATAATACTTACTGCTAAGCTAAAAACTTCAGCCAAAAAGTCACCTCTGACCCTCTGAGTTAGTGGCAAAGGAACTGGGGTTCATCCTACGGAACCAGTATTTAGTGTGAACACACCCTTAGGGCTTTTTTTTTATTTAAAATGCCATGTAGCACTGTAATACCATGAACATGCATAGAAGAAGACAAATATCTGAAACATAAACACTGACATCAGCTATGTTAAGACATGCCTGTACACTTGTTTAAATTTGTGAGAACTGAACCATGCTGTTTTATATATGACACTACAGCAAACAGGAAATGCATTCTCCTAACATTTAGTAGCGTTAGTGGTAATGCTGAGAAACAAATAAAACACTGGAATACATTCACACAATGTGACTTACGGTGATAACTAAAAAGTATACAAGCTCTTTACTCACCCTGCCTAAAGTTGCTGAGCTCAAACTATTTTCATCCAGTTAAATGTAAGCCATTAAAAAAACAATTAAAATAATTATTGTGAACTTCTGGTAAATCAATAAAAACATTTAATCATAGGTACAAAAATTGGTCAATTTTAAGAAATATTTTTCTTTCCATAAACAGGAAGTAAAATGTTGTTTTAGAGGGACACCAAGCTGCTTTCAGTAAATAAGGCTGCAGTAACTCGGTAATCCACCCAAATAAGTGTGAACGCTGACACTGGCGCACGTTATCAGTTGCACATTCGTCTAGTTTATTGAAGAGGCTCTAACCCTGTAGAAGTTGGTGACGTAGCTAAAGAACAAAAGACACAGCACTCTGATCTTACACTATTTCTCCAGAGATAAAGTGGGATTTCAGTTTGTGAGAGAGATTTTTTTTACAGCTGACAGTCTCTAGTTTAGCAACACAACAAATGGTACCAGGTACCATCAAAGGATAACTGTTTAACTAACTACAATTAAAACTACAAAGCAGTGTTTTAAATTAGGCACTTCAAATTATCAAAGGATAACTGTTTAACTTCTTTCTTCTCTTTGGTTGCACATTTGAGATCATTTTTATTAAAACTATTAAGCAGTGTTTTAAATTAGGCACTTCAAAATACAATTTGCAGACACAAAATATATAGCTTTGCAGTCGTCATATAAACTAACAGAGCACTGGGCTTGCTTAGCCACGTTAGACAGCAAATTATGTTGTTATTATAGTTTATATTTCACATAATTAAAAATCAACATGACAGAAAATCAAATGCTCTCTGCGACCTATTAGAAATGTTTTATTTCGCCACATGCTTTGCAAAGTATACCTTTAATATCGATATTTAAAAATCTGATTAAAATGGTTAATTGAAAAACAATATTATCTGTTCCTTAAAAAAGCCAAGTGTCCATTATGTAATAAAGACAAAGGTTACAGATGTCACGAAGTACGTAATGGCACGATTTAAATCTGAGCACAGCTGTCTTCATTAAAGGTGCGCCCTGCTAATTTTAGCCTCGTTCCATTCTGCCCTGACCATGAATGAATGTTACAGGCTACGATGCCATAATGTTAGTACGTAGTGTACTGTTAACAGAGCAGCTTAAAACCCCCTGTTGATTAAATTGTGACACTAAGACATTAGTTTTTAAAGATGACGTTTATGTAAAATATCAATGTCAATGAAGCCGGTTTCCTCAAGGCACGGTGTGCCCGCCGCTCTGACAGTATGTCAGAGGGTTAGCTTAGCGTTAGCTGGTTGCCCGATTAAATTAGCCGAGTTAGCCGCTATCCGCGTCCCCCACTGTACCGCATCGTGTTAACTCTTCCATTTTACTGAAATGTCATTTAAGGAAGACAGCGCAATACCAACCAGACAGAAGCTGCGTATGCCAGGCAGCCATTACTTTCACTTACCGAGTTGTGTTTTTGTCCTGAGAACAGCAGAAAACAGGCCGGTGGACAAGACGCGTGGTCCTTCTAGAGAGGATGACAACGACGAGGAGGAAGAAGAGGAGAAACAGCAAAGACAGTTGCGGTTACGGGTGGGAGGAGCAAAGAATGGTAATACGACTATAATTAATTATAGTAAAATATTACTCTTTTAGAATGCCTAAACAATAATAAAAAGTATTTATTGTACCAGCGTGTGCTGAAAATAAAGGATATATTGGATAAAGGTGAAGATGGAGGTGATACTTCTGATGAGGTTGTATCGTTAGATTTTTTTTGACGGATTTGAACAACTTCTTAGATATCTGTTATATTATGTTATGATGTAACACTTACTGTTATAGTTAAATATTTTTAAAGACTGCGAAATTATTGGTCCAAAAAAATGCAGCTCAATTAACCTAACAATAAGCAATGTAACATGACACTGCTCAATATGTACCGTAATATAACCCGCAAAACAAAGTTAGGAACGCTCCATTGTTCACTGAAGTAATGTGGGGAAAACAATGTAAGTATTTGGTTATGCATTAAATTGTACATGGAAACCAACTTCAGGTTAACTAGTAATGGATTATTCGAGGGTGATAAATCCAGTTTAGGCTGCAGACAAAATATTTTAGGTGATGGCACACAGAATAACCAATAGTGACCTGGAACATTTGTTAAGCATAATTCTGGTTCCTGAATCAGTCAAAAATATTAAAATGACAAAGCACTGGAGAACTTCCAAGTTTCAGAATAATTAAACCGAGCTTTGCTTGAGACTTCACCATTATCAGGAGAATGGATTCATGGACAAACTACATCTTTTAATAGCAACATTTAATTACTTATTAACTTAAATAAATTAAAAAAAATAAGGCAATGTACAAGGAGATCTTTTTCACAACACGTCACAGATATTTATACAGACTTGGCTTTGTAGAAGAGAAATGTTGGCTTTTACTAACATTGATGCTAGCTTTTAATTTTTAAACAAATTATAGTGTGCTACATGAATCATAATATAAATTTAAATTGTTTAATACACTCAGCAATGGCTTGTTTAATCGTGTACTCTCTTTCACTACACTAGCTTGTTAATTTCATCCCTCTGTATAAGGCTATTCCAGGCATATAGATGCCACCAAGTCTTTTTCTAATTACAATATAAAACTTTTAATCAACATGAAATATATGTTTCTATCTAAATTATAAATCTAATCATTTGTGTGCATGGAAGTTTTTGTTTTCAAATATTTTTTAGTGTAAATTTTGATGTGAAAAATGGTCACAAAAAACAAACAAACAAAAAATGAAAGCAAATACACCCTGATCCAGTTTTCCTTGTAATGCCTTGATGACGTTGAGCCTGTTTTTAAACCTACTTTATTGTTGAGCTTCATTAAGTCCAATGAGTCCATGCTCTTTAAGGCACTCATCATTTTCTGTAACCTGCTGCTGGCTTTCGGCCAAGATCCCTAGCTCTCTCTGTAGCAGCCTCCACGGCGCTCATGGTTGATGCCCTGACGCCGCCTTGCTCCAGGGCATGTAGCCCATAGATGGTCGTTCCACCCGGAGTGCAGACCTCAGAGCGGAGCTGAGCTGGATGCTTCCCTGTGTCACGCAACAATCTTCCAGCGCCCTGCAATGTTGAAGTAAATTGATGATGCAACTGTATCAAACAATTAACAGCATTCCAGGTCTGATAACAAATAATCAGACCTGGAATGAGTGCGAGTCAATTTGAGGTCTGAAGCTCACTATAATTGAAGACAATCGTCATGACGACACAGCTCCAGTGTGTTACTAACCAGAACTGTCTGAGATGCAATGCTGTGGGCGAGAGAACTTGGCATCCCCATTTTTACAGCTCCTTCTGCCAATGCTTCAGCAAACAGGTAAACCTGCACAGCAGAGTTGGATGAATCAGAACACAATACTGTCTAATTGTTACCAGGTATTTTCCATTTGAAGTTTAAAAACCTGTTTGTTAGAGATTGTTTGGATTAGAACCCTATATATTTTGGATTAAAATAGTTGAAACTGAACAGATGATGCGGCACTCTCTCCATTATTCATTTCTCCAAAACTATCAATATTCTGCAGCACTGCATCTTATTCCTTAATATTCTTCCTTCTCTAGCGATTACAAATTACAAACACCAACATCACAGAGTTTGTCCTATTTTGGAGAAATGTTTTATCTGACTCATAATTAATCATGATTCCTTAAACTTAATTTAAGTCACTATATTTGAGGTAACTTACAAAAGCCACACCACTTCCACTGAGTCCGGTGTGAATGTCAAGCCAGGTCTCTGGTCCCTCCTCCACCAAGCCACAATGATGCAACAAGGAGCGGAGCAGAGCTCCATCTTCCTCCTTTGCATTAGTTCCCCTAGCAAAGAGCAGAGCACCTTCCTGAACCATGCATGGCAGATTTGGCATCATGCGGATGGTGACTGTATTCTCTGGTAGGATCTTAAATTGGACAGGAAAAAAAAATTAACAAGTTACTGATAAACTGAGATGTTTTTAAAGTGGCTGGTACATTCACCTCTTCTAGTGTTGCTAGCGTCACCCCTGCTGCAACTGACACCACTATGTGTCTGTCAGTGACGTGAGGAGAGATCTCGTTTAGAACCAGTGGAATGAGGTGAGGTTTGACCGCCACGAAGACAACATCTGAACCACCCACCACCTCTACATTGGAGTGTGTGATGGAAATCCCAAGCTCCTGAAAAAAAAAAAAAAGACAGACAGACAAAATGATAATGACCTACACTCCATGAATATGTGATCAATTATTTTAGCTAAAGGGTTTTTTTCGGCTGTAATTTTTTAATGTTTTTAGAGAATGCAGTAGGCGTTCTAAGAACAACATGTAGTATATAAAATATAATACACACCTTGGTGTGAGAACTCGTTTTATATATTTTTATGTGTTTGTTATTTATTGTTATATGTTTTGTTTACTTTGACATTTTTCCCCCGAATACATGTTTGAAAAAAAAGCCAAACTTTATCAATCACGATTGATTTATTTTAAAAAAGGGTCAAACAAGGGGGTGAATACTTATGATAGGCACTGTATATGGTTAATCATTGTGCTTGATACTCAGAAGAAACTGAACAGCTGTTACTGTTGTGTGTGATTCACAGCTACCTGAAAACGTCCCAAATTCCTAACAGAAGGTGCGCTCACTAGGATGTTCTCAGGAAGAATATTCCCTGTCGTAAAAACAAAACATTTTGAGCCTTAACTTTTCTAATTATCTGCAAGAGAACCTAAAAAATGCTGTTAGCTACTTACCTGCTAAAATGCCCTTTGTAATGCCATACGCCATGTTGCCTGCACCAATAAAACCAATTTTAAGATGCGAGTTCATCTCCGGGTCCATCTTAATCTGACAGAAGAGGGGTTTAGTTTTAATTTAAAAACAAAAATTATTTAATAAAAAAAAACAATACTAAAAGAACCTAAAACAATCAATCTATGTTAGGAGCCATTAAATTTAGCATTATAATGGACATGTAGCTGTTTGGTTAATAGATACATATGCAGTTATTTGTTTGCTACTCCAGAATTAATCAATTTAGTCAACATGCTTTCTTTTAACTACCTCTTATTTTGTCACAGTTCAGTGAGATTTTAAATGAAGATTCACCAAACTTTCTCTATTCACTCTTTTCTGCAATAGCAAAAATGCTACTTTTCCTTTTTGTAAATGTTCAGCAATAAGATTGGTACAGCCAGACTGGCTGCAAACACCATTACGATTAAAATAATAATTGTGTTTATGAACACGGGGCAGGTATGGAGGTTAATGTAAGTTTGGGTCACTCGGTGTGTGACGTTGCCAGGCTTCTATTGGTCAACGTAGATGTCAATCACAAGCGGTGTCCTTTCACGTTATCCAAATGACTTGCATTTTACTGTCCAGTTTTTT